AAAGAAGCTCCCACTACTTTCAAGTTGTTCATGTGTCAGCATTTGTGGTACTCAGTAAAAAAACAACAACAAAAAACAAGCACCTTTGATAAAATAAATTCAGTTGATTTGCACACCCTGTAAGACTAACTGTTATCCTACAATGATCATTCTTAAGTGTTTCTGTTGAGGTGGAAAGTCAAAAATACTTAGCATTGACACAGAGGTATGCTTCGTCAAAACACTGTTTAAAAGACTGAAATGTCATTATATCTATTAGAAATTAAGATTTGAGCACTCCTAATACTTTCTTTGGACTGCTTGTCAGGCAAAATATAATGTATTCAACGCAAACACATTTAAGAAGGAATTACCCCAATTAAATAATTTATGTGACAGCAAATTTTGGTTTATCGTAGGAAAAGAATCAACAGACTGACGACAGACTGATGGCGAAGCTAAGTTGATACATAATTAAAATCTCTAAGGGTTTGCATTTAATAATCGAATTTTGATGCTGATTTAACTAAACTGTACACAGTTTTAGGTTTATGAAAAATGTATTTTGTTTCTGATAGAGTATGTATGGAAAGGTCAACCCTGTAGCAAATTATTCAACGCTGATTATAGATTCTTTAAAACTCAGTTTGGGATTTGTCAAACTTTAATTTATTTTAAAAAAAAGTGAACTCTTAATTCTCCAAAAAAAATTATCTTCTTCTTCTAAACCCAAATTGTGCATTGTCTCGTCTTGTGACCGTTTACCAACACAGTACAATTCTGTGCACTATAAGTGAGGAGCACTCTTACTCATTCATAGTCTTTGTATCAAGCTATTTAATAAATCAATGTATAAACAAAACGTGTATTCAAAATGGAGGAGACGCTGGTCCATCACATAGCTTCATTCAAGAAATGACTTAAAAGAGCAGTAACTTAACAGTTAGGCTACTTTAACCTACTGGAAAAGCTTGACTAAAACTGTGCTTATGTTAATAATAAATACTTAAAGAACAGTATGATGCTTTGTTTGGTGTCAGTACTCTAAGGCTAATAATAATATAAGCTTTTTTGCGTGTTTTTCCTATAAGTGGAGGTGATTTAAAATAAAATATGTGTGTTCTCTCTTCTGATTAGAGCATTTATCTGAGGTGCAAAGAAGAGAAACCATCAAATCTGTTTTATTAAAGCTAAACCAACAATGCTGTTGAAAGCCTGAACCTAAAATGACTTTAGATAAAGACTGAGCCTTAGAATTTGATTTAATATTTTTTTTTAAACAGCCGTGAGCTGAATTTATAATAAACGTTACATATACATGAGTTTAAAGAGGCTGAAGATTATTTATAAGCACGGGAAAAGCCTCATGACCTCATGAGTGGAGGTCATTTTCCTGGTTACATACAGTGACTGAAACACGACTAAGTGTTTTTACAGAAAAATGCATCCATTCACGCCTGAAAGCTGAGGACAAATTATCAATCACTTCATCTGTTGCTGAGCTCAACCGTTGCCAAAGAGTTGACTCACTCTCTCTGTGGATTAAGCCACTTTTGTCTGTTTACAATTTCATCAGTTTCTATGTTTGTATGCATGGCACTGCTTAAAAATCTTGTGATATTTTTCTTTTTCATTTACTTTGCCAGCGTGAAAACAGGAGCCAAAGGGATTTAATACAGTGAGCAGTCATTCAAAAACAGGCCGAAATAGTGCTAGGTTTTGGACGGCGTTCACAGAGGCCATCTGCAAGCTGCTGCGCACCAAGAACGGAGGCAAAGCTGGTCTGCAGGCATGATGGCAGAGCAGTGTGGTGCTGGCCCCAGAATAAACAAGCCATTTAACTGGACAACCTCAATAAAAGCAACTATTGATGCTGCTCAGCTTTTTTGTCTCATTCTGCATCCCGGCTGTGCCAAATGTTGGCTCGTTTTCACATTGATTTCTGAAGTGGTAATTGTCCTTGCTGTTTTCTTTACGCTGTCGTTTAACTTTTACACGTCTTTATCGATATCCCGTTAGAGCCGATGGATGTTCCTGCCCACAGCTGTCACTCGGGTGCGCATGTAATCGACTCTAACTTTCCTCTCTGTCTGCGTCAGGATCAATGGCAGTCATCCGACTCTTGTCTAATCTGATGCAGCCACCCCGCTCGTTGAGGGGTCGCATGCTGCGACCGTGTGTGAAAATTCCTGTCTGCTTTAAGCGAACACACATGACCAGGACTGACACGCCTTCAGAAAAAGAACACATGTGCAGACAGGATCTTGGGACTCCTACTCCAACCAGGGCTCATATTCCCCAACCTGTCTGCACAAGCAGGCTGAGAAATAACTTTTAAATCCACGGGACAACTGGTCAGCACATTCACACACAGACACACACCCCGTCTGGGTCTCATTTCCCTCCTCGACCCCTCAGACCTGCGTTACCCCATGTGGAGCAGGTGGGCGACAGCTTCTCAGCCTCTTTTTTGTTCTGCTTCCTCCTCTTTTCCACATACCTCCTTTTAATGACCGAAAATATGTTAAAAAGCTCTAGCACTTAAAGCTGCACCCTCTTTCTGCAGCTGGAATTGACAGGCTTGGGAGAAAAACAAAGAAAAAATCCCATTGTGTCTTTTTCAGCAGCCTCCAATCAAGCCTGCCACTCAGTTATCCATAAATGGTAAAAAAAAAAAAAAAAATACAGTAATCCATTTTTCTTTCTTTGCTAAAGCCTTTCAATATTTTTCTGATTTGATTGCAAAAAGCAGCATTGAAATAAAATAAAAATAGAGACAAGATAAGAGAAAAGCAAATGTGGATTTTCTCCATGACTATGCATATGGTGTATGCGGAGCACAATAAACGTCTGCGATAGACCAGAAACAAATATATACAAACCAAGATGGAGAGACTCCAAAACAGATGGTAGAAAAACAAAGTTTTGATTAACCTCATAAATATCTATTTCATCTATGTTATCAATTTGAATGCAACAATAGTCGTTTGGAAAGAAATCAATAACTCTATCCTTTGATGTTGTTACTCATCTGTAAATTTCTGCCACGTAAAAAATAAGAATGAGAGTATGAGATGAGTCTGGGATCTTTTACAAGGTAAAAACAGTCTGAGCTCAGAAAAAGCTGCAAACTGAAAGCAAGAACATAATGTAATGAGTCTGACAGTCCTCACAGCCAAGTCTGAGCACTTTCCTTGTTTCCTTGGCAGCAGAATTAAACACAAGACAAGAGCCTAGATTGGCGTTAAATTGATAATACAACTTGAGACGTAAATGAGGAGAAATTCAATGAAAGATGCATGTAGTAAAACTAGTAATCAACCCACTAGGCTTTTCGTGACCAAATACAGATTGAAAATTTTCTTTCAGGACATACTTTAGCTGCCACTTCTGACTTTCATTTGTTTTTCAATTGTTTTATAATGAAAAGCACCGTAACTTGTATATTCAGTACTTTGCAAATATGTCTAACCTATTAAAAAAATATATTACTTTAAATCCAGGCTTTCTGGTAATACCCCAGTAAAGTGTTCAATAGCACTTCCAAATTTCATAAAGTCTTTCCCAATATTCTGCTTAATATTCGGAATGAAGCACACTGTATTTTCTGATGTGATGATGTTTATCTTGCCATTCATTATTTTCTTTTTGTGGCATTATTACTGTTGCAGCCTTTATTAAATACTTTCATTATGTATCGGGATGAAGTGTATCATTTACATCTAGTTACTGCATCAGAAAAATGAGAGTTACCTTGGTTGCAAGTTCATAGTCGTTTTCATTTTGTTTCGTTATTTCTCTTATAATGGGTTAACCATCTTGAGTTAAAATTAGTGCTTCATCACAGTTTAGAAAGTCCATAGCCAGTCAAGCAAACTATAAAGTATTGTTTATTACAGCAAGCAGTTATGAAAGTGCTATGTAGACAAGTGGAAAATGAAGGGGGAAAAAAACTAACAAAATTGAAACAATTTTCTCAGTAAGAATTCACAACATGAAAAATTAAAACAATTAAGATATAATGGAAGGCTTTTATATCTTAAAAGCCAAGCCAAAAAGCAGAGTAGTTAAAGAAATGATCAAGCGGGCTAATCAGAAAATAGCCCAAATTCTACTGATAGCTTGGCCACTTCAAATATTCTGCATGCTGAGGTGAGTGAAGCCTTATTATTACGGAGTCTGCATTTCTTAAAGGTAATAGCTAAAAGTTTAGGCAGACTAGTTATGCAGTCTGCAAGCCATTTACCAGGTTCCCTAATACAAATGTTAACCTTAAACAATTTCCTATCAATGCTGGTGTTGTGACCAGAAGTAAATATTTATATATTTGAACCTATCAAATTTATAATATAATTATTTATATATTACATATTTTTCCTAATAAAATTTATATTTTTATTCTGCTCCACTTTTGACAAAATATTTGTATGTAATTTTTTTAATCAATAACTATGAGGAAAAAGTTGTAGCTATTACCCCTTTTGATTGATTGATTAATTGATTGATTGATTGACTGATGTTATTGATCTCAAAGGGGAGAAATTTACTCATTACATTGGCTCAATAGTCAAAAGAAGAAGAAGGTGCCAAGAGAAGTAAAAGGTGCATTTGGGGGGGGCAGGGGGTATATACTGTATACACAGTGCGTCCACATTATATATATGCATATATATGATATAGGGTTATTCAACTGGGTATTAATATATATATAGCTATTGCACTGGGTATCAACTATAGAAAAAATTCTATAACATATAGAATTGTGTAAAAATGTGAATTTACAATTATGTAAAAATATTACTTGTACATTGCTGTGACATATGTGCATGTTACAGCGTGTGTCGTGTAATCTATTGGTCATCTTTTATATACTCAAGAAAGTCTGAGGAAAAATTAATCAAGTCCACTAAAGGTTTCAAGAAAGTGTGACTCACTGGATGCAAAGGAAATAGAAGCTAACTGCTTGGATGCTGATAGAAATAATTACACCTCAGACTAATTTAACAACAGTTATGACCTACCTGGCAGCGATGTATAATGTCCTGTTCATAATCAAGATAAGCTGGATGTCCAGTTTGTGCCGCTGTGTGTTGTTTCTACCCGGTTTGTGGCCCACAAATGCTGGATACTGTTTAGTATCTGTAAAAAAAGTACACATTTTGATTAATTATATTCTTTTTTTTTTTTACAACAACATAAGTAATTGATCATCTTAATTTCAGGACTGGAACATTTAATTAAAAATGCAGTTTCTTGTGTGTAATATTTAAGATACCACCACATTTCTTTCTACTTAAAAACCTTACACATTGGGGTTGGAAACCTTCTGACTCTTAAAATGAGAGTAGACACCTTTATGTGTTAGAAAAAGCTGTCTGATCACTACAGAAGGAAGACTGTTGTAGGAGTTTGGTTAGGGACTCCAAGAGGTCTCAACAGGATTCAAAAGCAGTCACTGCAATCTTAACATAACCATGTGTGGCTGCCTCAGATGCTAAAACACCTGTTAACACAGCAGTGTTAGCAGATGTTTTGTTGTATGGTTTAAATAGCATACAGTCAGTGAGACCGACTTTGTTATTTGAGAAAGCACCTGATACCAACTGGGAATCATAGATTTGCACCCAGACGTAGCCTTACCAGATCTGGGTGCTGCATCATAACCATCGTAAAACACAATGATTTCTACCTTATATCAGAGGATGCTTGAAAATACAAGAAAATAGATAAAAAAATAAAAAATAAAAGCTTAACCAAATTGATTTTGCAACATTACAATGACCTACAGTAGCACATACCAGTGAATCCACAATGACTGGACGAGAATTAAGAAATACAAAATCCTGCGCCAGGTCAAAGCAAAGACCCTGAGCTCTTTAAAATGCTGTAGGTGGTTAAAAGCAAGCAGTGCTTGTTAGAAGCATTTAAAACATTTTAAAGTTGAAAGGAAGGAGATGAACAAACTTCCCCAAAAACAATGACAGAGAATAGTAGATATTGACTTTTCTTCAGCTGGTTCAGTAGTTCATACCGTAGCCATGTGCTGTCGAATGGGTGAGGTATACTTCTGGTGCTTGCCTAAAATGAAATCACCCTCTTTTCCACTGATAATAAAAATACATTTTTAGATTCTGCTGCTTTGCTCCATGTGCTCCCTCTATAGTTGGCAGTTTTGGACAAAACCCTTGGTTTAAGGAAACAATCTGAGGAACACAGGTCCATGTGAGGCTGTCTGGCTTGTTTTCTACCTTTCTCTGCCAGGACACACAGCATTACGCCCACAGTGAGCAGAACAGGACATGATACAAGGAGAGACACTGGGACAAACAGAGGGAACAATGAGCATATCTTTACAGCTTTCCAGAGCGTACACTATCGGAGCAGCATAAGCACCCTGACAGCGGATTATCCAATGATGTGAGGTGGGCTCCATTTCAAATGCTGCCTTAACTCCTTTATTTTAGCTCATGTATAGGGCCCATCCTTTGCTGCCAATATGCACTCCAGACCTGCAGAAGGAGTTCATTTTTCTAGGGAGGGTAATTGCTGTAGAGGGCATGCTAGTTGAGAGGGTGTTGGAGAAGTAAAAAGATTGAACAAATGAGACACATACTGAGAAAAGAGAGTTCTGAAGTACAAGACAAAGAGGGAAAAGAGAGAAAGCAGAGGAACTACTTCTAATGAGAGGATGGATCGTGCACAAGAGCAGAGATAATAACCCAGAGAAAAGAAAGAGAAGCAAGAAAAAAAAAAAAACACTTACAGTTGCCATGTGAGATGCTAATAGGCTCACTGTCCTCAGGGAAACCCGCCCCGGCTATTTGCAGTAGCGTGAAGTAGAGTACTAAGGCCTCTGACCTCATGGTCACTCCAACACCGCCGCGGCTGCTGCTGGTCCTCTGCTAAAGATGTGGTTTCGCCTGCACAGGAGAGAGAGGCACAAAGGCAGGGATGAGATTCTCAGAGGAAATGACAAAAAAATAAATAAAATTAAACTTTCTGAAACAGTTCGTTCACATGACTGCAGAATCAATATACCCCGTGTCTGATTGCTGCACTCTGTGTCAGAGAGACCTTCTCCTGCAACTTAAATTAGCTGTTTGTGCATCGTGGCCCAGCTCCTTTCAGTTAGTCCAAGATATATTTGTAAGCAATATGAATGACTCAAGTAAGCCACCATACAAGCAAAACCAAATTAATTGGATTAGGGAGGTAATATGCGTCATAGATCGATATCAGGCAGAGCAGATCACTCCCTGCAGGAGCATGACGGGTCTTAGTGAAACAGGAGTGCTCTTGTTAAGATTAACCTGTTGCAGAGTGTCGGCCATGCGTGGAGATAGGGCGAGTACTTCTATCATACTTTGCAGTCTAACAAGGTTAAAACAATGCTATAGACAGATTCTAACATATAAGGTACAGTAGATGATTAACCATCCACTGAAACAGAGTATGGATGAAAACACACTAGGATTCTGGTCTATATCTTGAGTGATACACAAAATAGCAGTGTGTGTATATTTTTCATAATGTTTTCAAGAAAGTATCGAGTAATAAAGGCCTTCAACACATTGAGAATAACTTTAAATTACAACAGGTGTAAAGCAGCCTTACAATCCTGTCAAAAAATATGTGCTACCTTAAAGATTTCACTGTTTTTGCAGCGCAAACTAAATCTGAGCAGTACAGAGACATCATTTTAGCTGAGCACAATCTCACATAAACAGGCCTTGATGTTTGGAAGCCTTCGCCAATTAAACAACATGTGTTTATTTCGTCTCATTGGAAACAAACATGTACACTATAGACAATATTGTTTACAGTTCTTTTATTTTCTAAACCTAGTAATTCTGCATTAAATTTTGGGAAAAAGACCAGAAGTGAAGCCTGATGTAAGAGTTTTTAAAACACCTTTTTAGTCCATTCCTCCTCGTCCTTCACCTGCATGAGTCTTTGTTTTTCTCCAATAATAATGGCAGGGGGAGAGAATCTTGTCCATCTTAAACTTGCCCTGCATTCTAGCCAAACATCATTCAGCATCTCTTAAAACATGGCCTGGATGCCTGTCTAACCTACTTGTTGCATCATGTCAGCATTTGACTAATCATTTATTCATCTTGTTTTCTAACAGCAACAGTAACGTTAAAGCTGGAGAATTCTCCCCAAACTGAACGCTGCACTAATGCAATGTTTTCAGAGCTCATGGAGGCTGCTGGGATTACCTTGCTGCAGTCTGTGTGCACACAATTACAGCCATAAATCATCCGAGACAATTATTGCATCTGTAATCTAATCAGGAATAAAGCGTTTAATTTGCATGAAGCACCTTCAGCTTTTTTTTTTTTTTGTCCTTTTTTCTTTTCTCGAGCAGTGGGTATGAGACATGGCTTTGCAGATGGAGCACAGGATGCTTCAGGGATGAGGAATTGAATAAAATAGGCAATTTCATTTGCTCCAGTCTGATAAAAGTTGTTTATCCCATGCCGTATATTCATTTGCAATTGTATATCTATGGGGGAGAGCAAACAGGAGGGAGACAAAATCGGAAGAGGAGGAGGAGTTACTTTCTCTTTTTCCTCTGTCATGTCCCTTCTCTGCCTCTCTTCCCCCATCTCTCTTTCTCTCTCCATGCTTCTGTGAATCTCATTCAGGAGAGGAATGAAAACACCATTCAGTGGGAGATTCATTTTAACACTGAGGAGAATACCAATACTAAAGCCTGGATACGACCTTGATCTCAAAAGCTTCTCCCTACCCTTCTGTCCTTTCTTACTAGTTGGCCTGTTCATCTTACCGTGGCATAGTAGGATTTTTTTTTTACACTTATGAAGGAAAATACAGAAAGAAACGCATCTTTCCTCAGTCCACGTTCATTAAAGAGTAACATTCATACAGGCTGCACATTCTTTGTCCAAATTGAAAACAAAAATTGGATTTCTTTCCCCGTACAGTAGAGCAAACCTCACTGGAAGGCTAAAATGCGAATCGGTTCTGAACCTTGACCCAGGACTCTTCCAGTAATTGACTGATTGATGAGCAGGAAGTAGCATAAGAAAGAGAGAGCAGCCCTTAGGGAGAGAAAGCTGTGAATGATGGATGGAGGCAGAAGCAACCAACAAAACAAGGTCCGGAGCATAGCGCAGTCGGGTGAATGAAGGGTGATTCTGAAAATCCTACTCATTACAGTATGTCAGAATCCGATTGTGGATTTTTTTGCGCAGATTCTTTGGTTTTTATCGTGTTGGTTTTCCTTTTTTCTGTACAAGTTTTCCAGACATCTCTCTGGTGATCAGCTGTGGCTGGAGGCGGAGAAGCTCCTCCATCCATATCAGTGGGTTTTAATTGGATGCTAAAACCCTTCTACCGCTGCCTCCCGTGATACACAAAATAAATTGAGCACAAAACATCTTAAGTGAAACCTCTAAACCTTCCAGCGGCCCTTTCATTATCGGTTGCAATACAGGAGTAAGAGGGACGGGGTGAGACACAGTCTGTCTTTACCGAATTACACTCTTTGCGTGGAGGAGCAAATTGCTTCCTTGTGTGTTAAGTGTGACTGAGTGTGTAGAGGTCTGATCTCAAATGCTATGTTTGTGTGGCAGTGTTGAGGCACACATGGAGGCTGAGAACATCAGGGTTTGGGAATCAAGGATCAAAGGCACGCCCACACTTCTGCAATATATTACCCACTTCCAAAATCACATACAGCGGAGGTGGAAGAACGTACATTTTTACTTTGGGTAGACCTTTCACTGAATAAAACCAACAAGACCTGAAGGACTTTTTTTCTTCTACCGTTTGACCAACAACTTACTGTATTAACAACTATTGCCAGAAATTACCAATTCACTCATTTTCTAATAATTTGGTGAACTTCATACATGCTACAGGAAGGTAAACTCTAAAAGGTAATCAACACGTTCCATAAAAATCCCAGGCAACTCTTATATGTAGCTATCTGGTAAGCAACGCAGCACAAAGGTCTAGGAAAATACCTGGTTCACTCTAGGGAAAGTGTGTCACTTTTTTGTAAAGTGTCTTAAGATTAGATTGGTCTTAAGGTGGACCATATAAATAAACTTTAAATAAAATCCACAAAAATAGCAGGCATATTTTGGAACATATCTGGCAAGTTATGCAAAGTTCCCTAAGTGAACCTGCTAAGTTTATGAAAAGAAACCCAGTAGGTTTCACAAAGTATACAGGAAAGACATTGTAAAAAATGTATGTATATACATTTTAAGATCTATAAAGTGCTTTTTAAGCTCAGGAAAAATAATCACTGAGTTAAACAAAAGATCTTAGAGAGCACACTGTACATTCTGGAAAAAAAAAATATTACTAAAAAAGGACAAGATCTGCAGTTCTACAATCTAGTTCTGGGAAAGTATAGGCTGTATGATGCAGTGCTACTATAACTTTATTAAAAAAAACTATACACTCCTTTTTATTTTCAGAGAAACACAAAAATAATTATCAGAGTAGGTAATCAAAAAATGGGGGACTTCCATTAGAGGGTTTTTAGAGGGCACAGGGAAGCAATAAAAACAAAAAGCCCCCAATATCTTCTATCTGAACCACACCTTCTTTAGGACTGCATGCATACACTTACGACACACTCAACAATCTAGTAACACACACAGCTCCAAGCAGAAAAGTATGCACAGGATTTTTAACAATAAACAACAGTGGATGTCAAAGCATCCAATCATGAGTGGGGAGACGCCTGTGGGGCCACAGAGCCTAGCTGCATTAGCTTTAACAATAAACACATTAGCCAACTTAATGATGTTATGGCCTGTCTTGTATCAACACGTTAGCTATGGGTGCTCGCTTGTTATAACATACATTTATTTTCATGAAAAGGTCTATTACATTGGGCTCCATGTGAGGAAGAGGAAGGAAATGTCGGAAAACATTGGTTTACTGTGACAGCTTTGGTGAGAGTTCATGCAAACACTCCACAACATAGACACATAAAGAGATGGTTAAGCTTTAGACGGTCTCAGCTGTTCATGGTCCCCAGTGTCAGAGTGCAATGGCATGAGATTATGTCCGAGTATAACCTGTCGCTGATGAGTTTAGTCTTCTGAACGTGTGTGGCACCAAGGAGGAAAACAAATACACAGATATAGTTTAAGTATAATAAAACTTGTTCATTATCATCTGGTAGAGTTCTCTGGTCAGTTCTGAATAGTGGCAAATTTTACAGATTTAAAGAAGGAGGTATTTTGAGATGAATTCCTCCACAAATTGCGTGTAAAGTTTCCTCAGCTTCTTTTCATCCTAATAATCAAACATTATCATGAGGCTGCCATTAATGTAACCATGAGTGACCTAGGGAAAAAAAATCTCTGACTCCAGTCAAACCATTTACTGCCTATATTTACCTACTGTTTGAGCAAAACATGTAATCATGTGGAAACTGGTGTCAGATGTGAGAACCAGATCAGAGGCTGGTTGCAAACATAATGGAGCAGTTCTTTTGTGCTAGCGTTTAACAGCTAACAGACATTCGTTTAGAGCTGATTGTGCATTTTAGATAAGAAAAGGCAACAATGCAAAGTTGAATGAGTCTCCTAGAGCGTGCTAAGATGGAGACTGAAAACCTACCAAAAGAAACAGGAAATAGTCTTCTTGAGTAATTTCAGAGATAAACTTATCCTGTGAATATCAGTAATAAAAGGAGGAAGAAAAATGTATTGAGTGGGAGGTATAGTTGAGGAGTGCTTTGCCTTCTCAGAGCTATCTGAAAGATGAATGATATCTGTGCAGTCATTTCAGCTAGCTCAGACTTTTGTGTTTTCTCAGGGCAGAAAAAGTGCAAATGCAACACCCATTAAAACACCAGACAACACTTTTAGAACAAGCTATCCTAAGGAGTTCTCTACCACTGTCAGTTTTTACACCTGTTGACAGG